TCTAAGATAACTTAGTCAATCATGACTAAAATAGAATTCATTGCAATAATGTAAGAGAGTTTACAAGCAACAAAGAAAAAGTAAAAGAAAAGGTAAAGAAATTATCCCGAATCATCTTGGCTTTTCCTCTTCTTCAAAGATGACTTGTAGCTATGGGTGTATTTTATTATCTTCTCTTGCTAAAAAACGCAGCTTCCTTCTCTAGAGTTGAGGGAAGCCGGGCTTTTTATAGCAGGAGCTCAATAGGAATAGATTAAGAAATTTCGATCAACACAACCATCCAAAATCTCGCCCAGACTTTTCGACGCATCAAGTGGGATGAGAGCCCTTGGATGCGTTTTTCCGAAGCTGTTGTCCCGCAACGGCATGAAGTTTGGTGAGGCGGTGTGGTTCAAGGCCGGAGCTCAAATCTTCAGCAAGGGAGGTCTGACTACTTGGGCAACCCAAGCTTGATCCATGCACAGAGCATCTTGGCCATCTGGGCATGCCAAGTTGTGTTGATGGGAGCCGTTGAGGGTTACCTTATTGCCGACGGACCCCTCGACGAGATCACCAACCCATCAACTTATTACCGCGCCATGGACTGAGAAATAAGGCCATATTAGCTTATTACCGTACCATGTCATCAGAATTACCGGAAAACCTATAAAAAAATTCAAGAAGAAAAAAAATAATGGTTTATGGATCGAAATATACATTATGAAAGGTCAGGGTGTGGCATGAATAATCAGGAATGGTTCATGATGCGGGATGACACTTTAACCTAATTAATATTACATTTTTTTTAGTATAAGTATTACATTTATATATTGATTCCACACGTCCCGACCCATCTAACGGATAAGGATCCGTGAAATGATCTCACACAAGTGTAACCCATTATTATATGGTGGAGCGCACCAGCCTAGTGAGCTAAACTCCTTTTGACAACTCTAATCGCTCGACTTTTTGTTTTTCTTAAGGAAGTAATATTTGATTGAATAAAACCAAATCGCGGTCATATATACTTATATGTGAAAACAAGAATAAATGTAAAATAAATAAATAAATATAAATAAATAAATATATATATATATATATATATATATATATATATATATATATATAAATAAATAAATAAATAAATAAATATATATATATATATATATATATATATATATATATATATATATATATATAGGCGGGTTCAGGTGCGGCAGTGTCTTACGGTGCGGTTATTTCTTACAGTGCGGCAACACCAATAGTTCACCAAATATGCACCATCAACGTTAGGAAAATACACCACACAAAACAGAGCCCTGCATTACCAAACACACACCATTAGGTGTGAGTAAAAACACCATACACTGTTCGGAAATACACCATTGGGGGTGGTGAGTGGTGTGTTTTTTTGAGTCTGTGGTGTATTTTGTGATGTTTTATTACATTTCATTGGGTGTGTTTTTATTACACTGTTGGTGCATATTGTTAACACTATTGGTGTATTCTGGAATTTGACCGCACCGCCGCACCGTAAGACCCCGCCGCATATGAGCGCTCTTCTATATATATATATATATATATATATATATATATATATATATATATATATATATATATATATATATATATATAACATACTATTTGTAAGTATTATACTTCTAATTTTAAGCTAATGCTAGTAGTTGTTCCAATTTGAACCGCCGGTTCACGGTTCAGGATCCAGTTTTTTCGATTCATGATTTTAATAAATTGAAACCCAAATATTGGGTTCTGGATCTGAATCATAACCGGTGTTGGTTTTAGGGTTTTTGTGCCCAGGGAGGTCCAACACAACGTAACCTTGGTTGGTGGATTCACCTTTCATAATAAGGCTACTAAAATAGAAGAAGTACGACTCAATGATTTTTACGTGAAAACCGAAAGGTGAAAACCACGGGCCTTTTTGGGCGGTGCCAAACCTAAATTCACTATGTATTTTGTAGGTGTCTTTGTACGTATTGTAGAGCTATTTTGTGTATGTGATGTTGTGTAGAGATAGAGCTACTATACTTTGTACATTGAGAGGAGGTCCTCTTCATGCGTGGAAGAGTGGTAGAGTCTTCTCATATGGAGTCTTCTTCATGTGGTCTTCTTGCTTGGATGAGTGGAGAGTGGTTGTGGAAGAGTACTTTCTCTTTGAGGGAGTGATGGAGTCTTCTCTTGTGTATTGGGGAATGGAGTCTTCTTGGGAGAGTGGTGTAGGAAGAATGACATGTCTTTCTATGGGAGAAAGAATAGTAAGTGGGGGAATGGTGCTTGGGAGAATCCTCCCATGTGTAGATGAATGAATGATCCCCTCTCTTGTGCTCTTCTTCTCCTTCTTATAGCTAGCTCATCCAAAAGTGTCCGTTGGGGGGTAATTAGTAGGCTTTATAAGTGATAATGATGACTTAATTTGGGTAGTAAGTGGGAGTTCATGTGGGGGTTATGGATAATAATAATAATTGGGTAATAATTGGGTGGTTGGGAATTGAGGGATAATAATTAGGAGATTAATATGGGTTAACGGCTAGTTTAGGCCGACCTCCTACTCGTGCTGACCTCCTATTCGTGCCGACCTCCGGGTCGAGCCGACCCCTCGGTTTGGCACATATCTCTTTTGGGTTTTTCCTCTTCTAGACTTGATCCCTTTTCTTCTTGGGCCCCGAGCCCACGGGGTTCACACCCCATCAATCGGAAAACTTCCAATTCGATTGCTATAGTGTCCGGTTTAGTTCGAACCGAACTGTGATCATCCCTACGTATAAGTAATAATTTGTTGAAGAAAAAATAAATTAAATATTTACTTTAAGGGTATAAATGTCAATTTAATATATCATGGGAGAAATCGCCATTTTTAAAATAATTGAGAAGGCTAATGTACTTACATGAATAATTCAGAAAAAAGTGTGATATAAACATATAATTCAGGGAGAAAAAGTATCATTTTCTCTTAATTCAAAAAGCTAATAATTGTACAACAAAATGGTCTAACTAGTTTAAACAAACAACGATACTAAAAAATATGCATGCCAACAAGGTTTTGGAATACGAAAAAAATAGCAATATCTATAAAAAAAATATATATATATAATTAAGTTACTAAATTAGCTATTTTAATCATTGAAATTTTCCTATTTCTGAACCAAAATTACATCTTGCTATGTGGTGGGGCATACAAACTTAGCGAGTTAAACCCGTTTTGAAAGTTGTAATCACTTTACGTTTTACTTTTTATTTATTTTAAAGATGTAATATTTGATTGATATGAGTACTTAAAGTAATTTGGGGTAGGGATGCCCAAGGTTCGGTTTCGATTCGGAATCGCCAGTTCGCGGTTCTAAAATAGCCGGAACCGAAACCGGAACCTTATTTGGGTGGTTTTTGTTTGGTTTTGGAATCGGCGGTTCCAGTTAGAACCGGCAGTTATAATTGGACTTCTTTTTTTTTTTTTTTTATGTTACTACTCTTGGTGCAAAGGCCAAAGGCCAAGTTGGCCAAAATTTGGCCTTTGAGCCAGTCACCTGTCCGGTTGTCCCACTACTACATTGCCCAGTACGACAGTATGCTATGCTTTATATATATATATATATATATATATATATATATATATATATATATATATATATATATATATATATATATATATATATATATATATAATAAGGCTCATATGCGGCAGTGGCTTTAGGTGCGGCGATGTGGTCATATCAGCGTCGTCCATTCTGCTTAATCTAACGGCAGCGGCTAATTTATGAAGATTTAAAGATTTAAGTGCGTCCTGGTAAGTGGGGGGTGTTATGGTAATTGTGGTGGTTATTTATATCGGTCGCTTGTCAGTATACACCAACAGTGTTAACAAAAGACACCAATAGTGTTAGGAAAAAGAACCACAATGAAATGCACAAATACACCAAAAAACACACAACACACCCAAAAAATACACCATATAACTCACCACCTCAATGGTGTATCTTGAACACTGTGTGATGCTTTTAGTCATACCTAGTGGTGCGTTCTGGTGATGCTTATCGAATTTGTGCATGTTTTTTTTGTGTGCATTTTCTAACATGGATGGTGTATATTTGTATAACTATTAGTGCAGTCGCACTGACCGCTCGGGAAGGCACCAACACGAATTGTCAAATACACCACAGTAAGGTTAATAATGCACCAATAATGAACATAAAACACACAACACTATGATTTGATATATTCTGGTGCTCAATGACGACTTTAACCTTGCAGTTCGCGTACTGTGAGAACGCGCGCGAAAATATCGGAAAAGCCTTGATGAATGTGATTCGTTGGATTTATCTAATCTAATGGCCTACAATTAACCGCACCGCCGCACCTAAGTGCACTGCCGCACTTGAACCTTCCTATATATATATATATATATATATATGTTTGGAACTGAAACCGTCCGGTTTAAAATCAGAACCGAAATCGGTTTTAGTTTCGAACTGAAACCTTATTAGTTTCGGTTCCTAACTGAAATCAAAACTGTACGGACGATTTCGATTCCGATTCAATTAGTACAATGCACGGTTCTGTTCGAATTGAACCGTGATCACTCTTAATTTGGGTTTGATTTAAGAATTAATTCACAATCATTATTTAGGAATCAATTATTACAGAAGAAAAAGAAAAGGAAAATTAAGTGGGTCAACTTTTGTGTAATAATTAATAAAATTTAATTGGGCAGGTGGGAAATCAATGACTAAAAATAAACATAAAAATAGCTCTCTGCCGTCGTGATCTCCTGTGTTGTGTTTTCTTTCCGGAGGCACGACCCGATCCGACATACTATATTCTCGTTTTCTTGCAGGCCAGCGGTAGATCCGGTCTCTTTAAACGCCGTCGTTCCTTCCTTGACGACGCCGCATCGTTCCTTCTTCCCCGAGTAGCTCCGCCGCTAGATTACGGCTTCTCGGTCGGATATCTGAGCTCTGCGTTTCGTGTTTTTCTCTCTAGCGTTTGGTAAGCTCTCTTTCTATTGACTGCGAAATGCCTTTTTCTCTGATCTATTTTAGATTTGAATATGTATTTTTGAAGTCGGATTGCTCGAGTTTATTAACCCTAGCTTCCGATCTTTGTACGGCGGGTTGAATGTATACGCGTATCTGTACGAGTACACTGAGGATGTATACGATACTGTGCTGAATCTCTGAAATTGATCTCCGTTGCTTGCTTAGCTTTGAGCTTGTGTTGTTGATTTCCGGTGAAACAGTTTTATTTCGAGGGATTTGCATTTTTAGGAGCTTGAGATTTCAGAAACTGAGTAGGGCCTAGTGGAACTGTGGAAGAGATTTTGGGGAAATGATTCTGGTACTAGTGTGAAAAGCGTTCCTATAAAGACTAGAACTAGTGGGAGGTCTAGATTTCGAGCCTTAGTGTAGGCATAGATTGTATGGGTATTCCCCTTCCCTTTGTTAAAAAAAAAAAAAAAAAGACTAGAACTAGAATTGCTCAGAAAATTAAGATGCTGAGGCAAATTACTAGTTTTCTATATCTTCGTTTACTTGACTTACTGCATAGAAAGCTTCCATTTCTGTCGTTCAACACTGTAGTTTGCACTGTCTGTTTATTTTCACAAAGCTTGGGAAGTCTATGAATTCAATGCTTATTGTTATACTATGAAAAGTAAAGCACATTATATTTCGAAAGTTTATATTTGATGCGGTTCTTGGCTGCTAATGTTTTATCACGAATTGGGATTTTTTAATTTTTTTTCTTGACATGTTTGCAGAAATGGCCAAAGTTGAGATGGGTTGCTAGTTTGCGTTCCTCTTTATGATGGTATGACGTTGTCCTTTTATTACAAATTTATACTTCACCTTTTGCATGAAATTTGCTTTAGAACCAGAAGCTTGGCAAGTTAACCATCTTTGATCCTAGTACATTTATAGTATCTGCAGAAGTAAACCAGGGTGTCTTACTTTAGACTGTGTATATGGCAGGAACAGATTAAAATATATTTTCTGAATGGTAAAATTGCAATGAAAGGTTTTGTTGTGAATTGAGTTTTGATTTTTTCTCTCTTTAGAACATACCCAAAACAAAAGTGTTGATGATTTTGTTGTAATAAAAGGACCAGAACAACTCAACTATAAGGACATACATGGCCATCATGGCTGAGAGGGATGCTGCCATCCTAGAACGGAACATGGCCCTAGACGAGAGAAAAAGAGCTTTAGCAGAGCGAGACATGGCGATGTTGCAGAGGGATGCTGCAATTGCAGAGCGCAATACTGCCCTAGAGGAACGTGATAATGCCATATCTGCCCTTAAATTGCGGGAAAGCTCAATGAATGATGAAGATATTGTTTCCAAGTCACCAGGAGCTGAACACATCCATTACCAGCAGGAGATGCATGAAATGATAAGTGCAGCTGCTTATGACCCAACAGAAAACCTCACAAACGACCCCTTCAACGTGACAGATCCTACTCCTCAAACTGCCAATAATCCCAGGAAGGTGAGGCAACCAAAAGAAAGCAAACCTAAAAAGGCATCCAAGTTAGCAAGGGTGGTTAAAAGAGAGGAGGTGGAGGTCGAGGATTTGAGTTGGCAGGCAGTTTCTACATTCGATGATTGGGATGATGGGAACTGCGGGGAGTTTGTGGACGCCAGTGATGAAGAACAAGACAAGCACCTGGATACATGGGATGAAGATTTCGGTTTAGAGCAGGTAAATTCTGATGTGTCTGCAATGCCAGTGCCAGTTTGTTCCTGTACTGGAACCCCTCAACCGTGTTACAAATGGGGGAATGGTGGGTGGCAATCAGCCTGCTGCACAACTACCATATCCATGTACCCGTTGCCACAAGCATCACATAAGCGCTATTCCAGAGTTGGTGGTCGAAAGATGAGTGCAAGCGCATTCAGTAAACTGCTCAGCCGTCTTACTGCCGAAGGCTATGACCTGTCTGCTCCACTTGATCTGAAGGACCATTGGGCAAAGCATGGCACAAATCGGTATAGTACAGTAAAATAGCATTGCCAGGGCCAATGGCCAAGGGCCAGCCAGCAGATTGTGCTAGCCTCCTCATCTACCTTTGATTAAAATTATCTACATTCATGACTCATGGCGTGGAGAAAGAATTCAAGATGTAGCTCAAAGATTTGAATTCTATTTACTGTGATGGTAGGGTTTTCTTTCAAGAGCGAGCAATCGTTATTATAACAACGTTGTTCTGAACATATTTTATTTCGAGCATACAATCAAAAATTGAACTGACATGAGATTGTAATTACAAAATGCATATGGTATCTGCCAAAACAAAAGCAGGGTGTGGCTGTCCTACAAATGAGGAGACTTTAATTCATCAAAATTGGAAGCTTCATAATAATGCTTTCATCAAAATTGGAAGCTTCATAATAATGCACAACCTGGAGCCGGCCATTTTTCCGGTCTTAATTTTCATCATCCATTACAAATATAAGACAACCACCCGGCAACTCTCTCCTTCCTCTTCCACTCAAGCAAACTTGAGAGCTTTATGCCAAAACAAATCAATATGATACAGCAGCAGAACTTAGCCCGTTCATGTCTGAGAGAACCTGACACAAATCACAAAGAACAAGAACGAAATATAGCACAAGGCTCGAACAGGGGAAGGAAACACAAGTCAAAGAGAAACTAAATAATAGCCTTTCTAGTCGTCATTACACATTAGCAGGAAACATACACCAATGACTCTGTTAGCAATAAGGATCCAACTCCTGCAAGACGCTACAAGTCACAACTGAACAATCAATCTAGTTCTCTGTGTAATGTACAAGTACAAAGCAACCAAAGAAAATAACACTGATCCTGATAAGACTTGGCCTACATCAACTAACTTTTAAGCATATGAATGAAAGGTCTTTTCCTAGTAAATACTACTTATAAGCATATAAGCAGGTGCTGCAGAGCCACTTGTAAATACAAATTCTAAGGCCATATATAATATATAGATGGAACAGATAAAAACATTCTTTTATAGATAGATCAGGAATACTGTATAGGACGACATATATAGAAAAATATACACAGTTTTATCCTCACATAGACAGTTAGGATGAGTTCACTAACTGAAGAAATTCTCTAATTTTCTAGTCTAGAGAAATTAAAAAAAAAAAAAATAGAAAATTTGTTTACTTGTACAATTATCCAATTTGGAAACCAGATGTTGAAAAACTGGAAAATAGAAGATTGAAGAATTCTGCTTTCAAAAAAAAAAAAGGAAAATTGAAGAATTCAAAAAAAAAGGATAATGTACTCTCCACCATTTCAAATATTTGAAACCATGTTAATCCCAATAGTTCTATTATTTGCAAAAGATCACAATAAATTGTAGCACTTAAAGCAAAAAAGGGTGGGTTACATATAAAGAGGTCCAACAAAATCTATTTCAACAAAGCCAAAAACCACACTAACACACAGCATTATTTGTTATCACAATCATTTTAAAGATTGTAACAAATAGGGGAGCCGTAGGATTCACTTACCTAAGAGAATAAACATCATGAATTCGTTGCATACAAATCTAGAACCAGATGATTTTCTCACTGATCACTAAAACTAAAGCCAAACCTATTTGCCATGGGGCAACCAGATATCACCTTAGGAATGTTACATACAGATCAGAAAAGTAAAGGGTCAAAATACATCCTGAAGGATTGCCATGTCTTTATGCTTGAAGGATTGGCCAGTAGAACAAAAGTGTATATACCAAGTTCACTGCTTCAGCTATAGACATCAAAACTTAACATGCACTTCAAATTGATTCAGGAAGGCACTAGATTCCATCATTTGTCCTTGAACCCAAGTAGCTTCACAGATGTAATTAAACCCCCAGAATAATTGTATGGCCAACACCAAATATTAATCCCCTTACAAAGGAAACAACAGACATTAGACAAGAATATCCCAAAGCACATATGATATACGATTGAGCCTGAGAAGAGTCAACATGCGGCTTTCCTCCAAGATGAAATTCATTTAATCAAGTGACAGATACGTTCAGCATCATAATCTCAAACATGAGTCCACTAATACACCTACCAGTCAACCATTACACACGAAAGAACATCTATCACCTACATGAATTTAAACATACTATATTCTTGGTTGTAAACCATTGAAAGGATCAATCCTACACAAGGGTATGAAAATTGAAAACCTAGTGTTTCTCTCCAAAAAGCCACAAAAGGTGCATCCAAAAACCATCATTTTCATATCAAATTCCAAAGCACTATGGATCTCACTGAATATTGTAAAGAAACCTTAACTTATACTTTCCCTCACCAAAATACAGTTAACATGCTCAGAGTTTTCCTTTAAACTTCAGAATATATCATAACTACATATCCTCAGTCTGTAAGACAAAATAGTAGTATTTATCTACCTAAAAGTCATGTCCAACACCCTCAAATGCCCAAAACAGCATAAATAGAAGGAGCTCAGATCCATTAGAGTCTTCATCATAGACAAAATACCATCTCCACAATAAGATCCTCTGTAAGTGTACAACCTAAAACTAAGGTGACTGGATCCAATTTGTTCAGAGAAGAGCATAAAAGACTCGGGAGTAGAGAGAGGGTAAAACAGAAAAGTAACATCCACCGAAAGAATAAGGAGCACATAAAAGAGAAATAGGTTCTTTGCTTTGAGCAGCTACACAGCAAATGCCTTCCTTATCAAGCAGCAGATTCTACATTCCAAGGGCACCTGCGATCAGTTTGTAAAGAACCCACCTTAAACTTAACAACAGGGTGTTACAACACAAAATGCTAGTATTAAATGAGCTCTGACTTACCAAGTAATCTTTTAAGACTACTAGTAACTAGTAATATCCTCGTCCATATGGACTATCACCATGATAAAAGGATTGGTAAGTGTGTCCACGAAACTGTTTTAGAAACAGAATATAGAAAACAAATATCATGAATCAGGTGAGGTAAAAGACTGATAAAGATAAACATTGCACCATGGTGGAGTCTGGTTAAGATAAATTTGACACTCACATCAGAGGAGTCATAGCCATAGCCATAGTAACCTTGCGAACTGAAACCACCATCAGCTGCAACGTCATCTAACAACAGAAGTACCACAATAAGCTGCCGGACAATGAAAGCATACCAAGACACAGGATAACATGAAGATGCAGCGTAATTACAAAAATACCTCTGTAACGGCTTCGACGGAGTGAAACTGCAGGGTCAGAGTAATCCAACCTTGGACGATGTCTGCTAGGCTCCATGTAATCAGGATCCTTGTCATGAAAATAAATTTTTTTTTTTAAACAAAAAAAAAAAAAGGTTAATGTTAAGAAAACCAAGCACTGAAATATTATGCTGGCGCATAAAGCAACATTTCCTCCTAAAGTAATGTAACGTAAATTGGATTAGGTTTGGACCAAGGGAGGATAAAGCTTCCTGCTTACAGTCCTAAAAAATGGTCTCTTCATCCCATGGGCAGTTTGATCATAAAAATAAGGATCTTCATAGTGCCTTCCCATGAATGGCCTGTCAAATGCTTCATTAGCAAGATATGGTTGCCTCCTTAAACCATCATCCATATGACTTCTATCACCATATCGTGGTCTATCAAAGTAAGGCCGTACAAATGTCGGATCTACATCAGATGGTGAATGGCCACCCCGGAAACCCCATCTCTCTCCTGCAAATGCAATGACACATAATGATATAATATATATCTTATTAAGGAAAAGGCCAGGAAGTGAATTAGCTTATGACAGATAAGTTTTTTTGTAGAATTGCAGCAATACTTTAATTACCTCCTCCAAAATTTTGCCTTTCAGGGAAAGGAGGATATGGTCTATCAAATTCATGTTCAGAAAACCCCATTCTACCACCATAGCCATGTCCACGGGGATAAAAACCCCTACCTCGTTGAAAATTTGGTTGACCAAAAGCACGTCCACCTCGTACAAAACCCCTTTCTGCAGGCAGTGTACCTCAATGCAAACATTTTATGCAAAAATGAACATTGTACATTAATAAGAGCTCAAAAAGATATTTACCATAATTTGTATAAGCTCCACTATTACCACGGCCAATCCGAAACCCACCAGACATCCCTCCTTTAACAGCCTGAGTTTTGGGTAGAGGATTTGAAAGTCTTGCTCTCACTCTAATCTATAAAGATGGTAAAGAAATTATAAAAAGCACACATGATTTCCATATTAGTACAAAGTCATATGATATAGTACTAAGATCAATGCACCATCATACATATGAGAGCACAAGTTTTTGTACGCTCAAAGAAAACAACAGAAGAAAGTGATCAATTTTGAGTCCTTTTAGTAAAATATTCTGGCTTGGGAATTACAAATATATTTATATATATAAACATTTTTTTTAAAAATACCTTTGAGTTCCCATCATTGAGCTCTGTGTTATTTATGCCTTCAACACAAGCAACAGCAGCTTCATGTGCGGTGAAATCTACAAATCCAAAGTCCTTCCTCTTTGCTGATGACATATTTCTAGCAAGTATAATCCGTACAATCTCCCCAAAACCTTTGAATTTATCCCTTACACGATCTTCATCCCAATGAGGAGGGAGTCCATCAACAAATACTGATTTAACTTGGGCCATTACCTCAGGATCTGGCTCTGATAAAGGCTCAGCAAAAGCCACTTTGGCAGTTCTCTCCGAGTGGCCAAAAACAGCATCGGGCTTTTGAAGTCTTTTATATGCGGTCACGGCATCAGCATGACAAGAGAACTCAATAAATGCAAAACCCCGACTTAAACCTTCATGCTTAGGATCCTCGACCAGAGTAATGCTTACAACGCTTTCTATGCCATATTCTCTCAACCTTTGTCTTATCTGTTATTATCACATTCTGAAGTTAATAAGGAGAAATTTAGATAACATGAAAATGTATAGAAAATAGTAGAAATGTTACAGCTTCTTTTGTCCATGTATTACAGATATTCCCAAGGAATAATGTATCATTATCTTCGCAAGGAGCAGTCCCACATCGCTTCCCTCGTATCTGTAAAATTTGAGATTAGAAAATTGCACTTCAATTCAAACATACATTCAAGTGACAGAAAAGAGTCATACAACTGGGTTTCTCATCTCTGCCAAAACCCGGCTGGCTTGCTCTTTGGTTGCAAACCTCACAAATGCATATCCCTTATTCTTGTTAGTGGGCAATTCCTTGTGCATTCTAACTTCAACTACCTCTGCAGCATGCTGAAATACCCTTTTTAAATCCTCTTCAGTAGCATCACGGTCCAGCCCACCGACAAATATTTCCAGCTCTTTCCTCTTCCTACGCTCATTTGCAGCGGCATTTAGTTCTGCACGTTCATCTGCTACTGCATCTGCTTCTTCACCATTGTGTGGTGTATCACCTTCAGCAAACTCCTCACCACTCAGTACTTCATGATCCACTTGCTCACGGAATGCCTCTATTCTATCATCATCACTTTCCTCTTCATAAATATTCTTTCCTTTCATCTTCTCATTGGAATCTTCCTCCATTCTATCTACCTCCCCTTGCACATATTTTTTATCCTTAACAACATTTTGGCCCCCTTCAAGTTTATCATTCAGTTGCTGTTCCTCTATTGTGTTGTAAAATTCATGATCCTTGAGAGATTTGGTATCTGCAGCAATAGGTTTTGTAAACCCTGCAGATTCTACATCTTCAACAACAGCCTCATCATGCTCAACAGATTTTACATCCTTAACAACAGCCTCTTCATGCACAACGGGTTGTACATCCTTAATGACAGCCTCTTGATGCTCAAGAGGTTTCACATCTTTAAGAACAGATTCTTTAACATAAGATGATTTCACAACACTGGCAACAGTTTCATGATCCTCAGAATTTTCCACATCATTGTAGCCAGTTTGTTGATCATCTGAAGCAAAAACTACCTTTTCGGTCAACCCTGCTGCCTCAGCTGTTTCTAAGTCCATCATAGCATGTTTATTCACATTCACATCACCTTGATCTTTCTTTACAGGCTCACCATAATCATCACTTGACGCTAGGTTTACCAAATGTTTTCCTTCTTTCTCAGGACCAGTCTCATCCTGCAGAGATACTTCAAATTTTGAATCCTCTTCTTTCTCCTTCAAAGAGTCCTCCACATTTGCTGTTCCAGCTCCTGTAGATTTGGATGTCTCAACCGAAGCATTTTTGCCAGACTTTGGATTTTTCCGTACCACTTTCCTTACAACCCTTCGAACTATTTTAGTTCTTGAAACAGGCTTTGTTTCTAGAGCCGCATGATCAACACAAGCAAATAGTAATAAAAAGAAAAAGTTCTTATCAAAATCAAAACTATAATCAAAATCACAACTATAATCAAAATCACATATATTTTATCAATGAATAGAAAGATATGTTAAAAATAATCACTCCTCATAGGCTTAGATTTTGTTTGAAGAAAATTAAAATTTATAACTAAACTTGGAGCATTTTGATTGCCAAAATTAGGACCTAATATTTTATTTCAACATCCATTTACTGAGAAATTATAATCTAAAACAGTTTCATGGAAGCTAAAGACTCAATAGTCGGTATTATATACCTGCTGGTGATTGTTTCGAGTCCATCAAGTTGGGTGTAATGGCCGCTACTGATGCTGCAGCAGCGTTAGCGGTTGTTTCGTTCGCCTTCGCCTGTTTCGCTCTTGTAACTGGGGTGCGCTTCGCCTCGTTGGACATCAATGTCAATTGGGATGCATGCTCTGCGTCGGGAGTGTTCTGTGACTTGGCGGCGGATTTTTTCGACGGCGGTGTCTTCTTTGCCGGTGGTGTCTTCTTCGCCGGTGGCGTCTTCTTCGCCGTCGATGCCGCTTTCGGCGTTGCGGAGTTCGGAGTTCTCATATTTGACGAGTAAATAAAAGTATAATATATGTGATCAAATCAGATTAAGGAAAAAGGAATAGCTACGCTTGTGCCCTAGCAATCTACGGAAGATGAATGCGGAGTAGAGACTAGAGAAAATGGTAGAGATATAGAGAGAGAGAGAGAGAGGATTCAGAGGACGCGACAGTTGCGCTGTGCTTAGTTGCTTACGGGCTTCGGCTCAAGGGAAATCTATATTCGGTGAGCGTGAACCCCTTCGTATTTCCTATTGACGGTGAATCGTTTTGATGTGGCGTATAATGGATTATAGGAATTAGATTGATGTATATCCCGGCTCAAATACCTTGTAGTTTAATGGGGGTTGGTCATGTTATTAATTTCTTCCCCGTTTGAGTTGATTACCTATGAAAACTTAAGTTAATTTATCTTTATAATTACAAACTTTCAAAGTTTTTTTTCAAAATGGTCCCTCGACTATCGTTTATTCTCAATTTTGCATTTTGACTTTTAATTGCACCTAATGTGGTCCCTTAACTTTTAAAAACTCTCCCAAATTGGTCCTCCGTTAGAAATTCCGTCTATTGAGTGTTAAAATGAAGGGCATTTTTGTCCGTTTACCTATTATATGCCTGATATACTCTGAAAAATAGTCGAGGGACCATTTTGGGAATAGTCAAGGGACCATTTTGGGAAAAATTCATTTATTTATTTTCATTTTTTTAAGACTATCATATTAGAATTTCTATAGATTTTTTTTTCTTACAAATATAAATAGATTTTAAACTTTCTCTACAATTTTTTCCTTCTGTCTAAACATACAAACTTTTCCTCTATCCCTATCAAGTTTTACAATAAGTTTCGTACTTTGGTAAACAAGTTTAACTTTCAAATTTAAGTTTATTAATAATTCATATATAAAATACAAACAAACTTCAAAATGACAAGAACTTGTAATATTGAAAAATGATGAGGCTTTAGGTTTAGAATTGCTTGTTTTCTGCTAATTATTTTTGCATTTGGTTTATTTTACTTGTCCTTTAACACATAAAATTGATAGTCATAGTTGTAGACTCTCTTTAGCATGATGTACTTCTTGGTAGATAGGCATTTGGAAATGGTAGTTATGATTTGTACTAACTTTGGAATGAAACTAATGGCCTTGCAAGTTAAGGTAAGCCAACTTTTCAAAAATATTTTCTAAGATTTTGTCATTGACCGAGAAGTGACGCGTACTTCTCAATTCCAAGAAGTGCTAGAAGCATAGCGATTGATTGTAAAAATAATAATTTTATTTACAAAGGCATACTGACCGAGAAATAAAGCGTACATTTTGGGTGTCTAAACTGATAAAAATAGTAATGTTATTTTTATTGGTAAAAATAATATTTAATGTGATACATAGTGATTGATTGTCTATTGAAGTGTGTGTGTGTGTGTGTGTGAACATAAAAAGTATATGAGTATTATATTTTTGAAACTTACGGAACTTATTGTAAAACTTGATAGGAATAGAGGGAAGTTGGTATGTTTAGATAGAAGGAAAAAAATTTGTAGAGAAAGTTTAAAATTTTGACTTTTGATTGTGAATTTTAACTATTTATATTTGTAAGAAAAAAAAAATGTATAGAAATTCTAATTTGATAGTCTTAAAAAAATGGAAATAAACAAAAATGAAATAAATAAATGAGTTTTTCCCAAAATGATCCCTCGACTATTCCCAAAATGGTCCCTCGACTATTTTTCAGAGTATATTAGGCATATAATAGGTAAACGGACGAAAATGCCATTCATTTTAACACTCAATAGACGGAATTTCTAACGGAGGACCGATTTGGGGGAGTTTTTAAAAGTCAGGGGACCACATTGGGTGCAATTAAAAGTCAAAATACAAAATTGAGAATGAGCGATAGTCAAGGGACCATTTTGGGAAAAAACTCCAAACTTTCATCTAATCGAAACATTATTTTTCATTTTAACTAAAAGTTTTCAAGTAATACGAGAATCGTATTATCTTTTTTATTCAATAACATTGATACTAAATTGAAACATGTGCTCCATCTCAACTAAAAGTCTAAACAAATAATTTGATTGCACCTTTATGTTTATATATTATATATGCTCAACACACCTAAATCAAATAAGTAAAAAGATAAAAATAAGTCATGAATTAGTAGCAACAATACAATTAATAAAAAATCGATTAATCAACCAAACTAGTAAAATTTGATTAACTATATTTTTAATTGAAATATTGCAGTATGCTAACATTATTTTTATTTTCTTTACCCTCTTTCTCTCGTGATGAGCAATATTTTTTTAAAATTACTGGTAGGTCGGTTAATTAATGAACACCAAATGGATGAAAGTTACATAAAAAAGAAAAGCATCAGCTATAAGATTGAGTTTGTTCTTTTAAGTAACAATTTTCCTTTTTTCCATTTTGATGAAATGTTCCCTTTTGTTCTTTTAAGTAACAATTTTCCTTTTTTCCATTTTGATGAAATGTTCCATTTGATCATGAGTGAAAACAAGATTAACGAGCGAATGTATGTAATAAGATGTATTTAGGCCATAATTCCTTATCTCTTCTCTATCATCATATGGATTTTTTTTTCTGGATTAATATATAAAGAATTCATTTTTTTTATAACAGCAAACACTCTTGAAATCCGAGAATAACTTTTTAAACGTAAATGTAAGAACACAATGGATTAAGTCCAAACACCCTCCCAAAGTAAGTTGATCCTTAGTCTTTCTTTTATGTTAGCTTCATAAATATTATGGGTAATTTAATGTTGCATTTTGCAGGTCTCCTTGATTGATGAATGGTTTATTGCTGCTGGGGAGGAAAGTGTGGAGTTAGAGGTCCAAAAGCATAGGGAAAAGAGTGTGGCAGAACATGTTTATGTTAATTAATAATCCAAATTTCTTCCAGGATGATAGCTGCATTTTCATGTGCCCCTAATTTCAATAGAAGAACAAGAGCAGGGAGAAGTGTAACCTCTGTGCAACTCTTGTGCTTCCTTGTTTGGTAGGATGGAATTGTAATTCCAATCCTACCAAACTCCACGGTGGAATTGCAATTCTCCCTCCAACTATGAAATTGTAATTCAATGGTGAATTACTATTTTTCCATTTTTATTATTATACAAGAACATTTTAATCTTTATGCACTCATTCCCTCTCAATTCCCAATTATTTTATTACGTCCAGTCTACTAAACAATGTAATTAAAATTCCACAAAATTACAATTCTTTTACCAAACGCCCTGACCAGCTGCAAAAGCAAGCAACAGCCATAGAAGTGCAACTCTTGTGCTTCCAAAAAGAAATCTCATCAAGACATGGAATTCCCAACATACCTGATCAATCAAATTTTAGAGTTCAGTCAATTCATGAAACTCAATTTATGTTTATTTCATACTTTTTGGTAGTGCTGAGTTGTTAAACCATAAACGCAGCTTCCATTAGCTGCCATATATCATCATAATTTCGACTACAAAAGTAGAGCTTTGCATTGGAATTGTGCGACGAATCCCAGGATAAAAGCTTGCATTTCTCATGCCCCTAATTCCAATAGATGAACAAGAGGGAGAAGTGCGAGTGCAACTCTTGTGCTTCGGGGCAAGAGGCTAGCTCAAGTGCTCAACAAGATGATTCCAAGCTAAAATTATAAGATTTAACAGATAATAATGACATTAAACCTCAACCACATTGTATTAACAATCATTCTATAGCCATAATAACACACAAAATGATACAGCACTTGCATGGAGTAAAATGTTTATTGAAATAACACACGAAATGCATTGAATGTTTACTTTCACACACACCACAAAAAGAAACAAAAATCAACAGCAGTACAAGCTACCAAAATGATAAAGAGTATTGACCAATCACAATACCAATGCACATGTTAATGTTCTTAACTCCCTACTCACCCCAAACTTCACACCAAAGGGAAACAAAAGAATCCCCAAAAGGAAAGCATATTAGCTGACGATTTTCTAGATTTTATCCGTGGTACCCCATAGCTCTTGCTATGGGCATAAATATTAAAATGACAACGTTTTCTAGTTAAAATCACTGATCTTTGTTAGGATCAATATCATGAGTACCAACTGAATCTTCAGTGTGTTGTGGAACTATGGCTCATCATCATCCTGTTCGCTTGATTATGTGAACACCGCTGTCAGTGTCCACAATGTCACTTATCTCACCAACCTTTAGTGCATACGTTGTTGTCTCAAAAGGTTTCTGCATCTGACCCCTGCCAAAAGGACCTGCATAAAATAGATATAAGGATAAGTTAGGATATTCATGTTCGCACTCAAAGTTAACCCTTAAGAAAGCTTTTCCAAGGACAAGGAGATTTGTCCATGAATCATAATAGTAGTAAACCCAAATACGCACATAACTATAGACAAAAATTGCCCAGGGATATAATGCCAATATTTCACAACTGAAATTTGGTCATTCCTATTTCATGATCATTATATCCTGCTAAAAGCTAAAAGGGACAAAATTTTCAGAATCTAAATACGTAATAAATTTTAATGATCTATATTTTTTGCTTCATTCCTTCAACGTGACTTATGGCATTACCTGAATAAAATGTCTAATTAATGATTGCACTATCCGAGTTAAACTGGACAATTCTGGTTAACCCATTATTGATCATTTAGATGCATAATACTACTTTTCACTGTCATGCACTTGATTTAGAAGAGCATCAAAGATGTCCAATTATGTGTCCGGAGATGCCAAGGGAGCTATCAGTAACTGGAGAATGGAGATCTGCCACCATAAACTTTTCAAAGTATTTTATACAGAAAAAGAAATGTCAATATATGGATTCCATTTTAGTCTTCTTCTTTCTCACAAAAGTGCCAATTCCAGGTTAACTTAAGTGGCAGCAATGGGCATTGTCAAGCATAAAGTGTAATGCAAAAAGCCAAAGATGGAAAAAAATTACAGACAAGATACAGGAACGTGTAATGTGATCAAGGACCAAAATTGAATAAGGCCTGGTACCAGAACACAGAACATCAAGAAGGCAGGGATCAAAACTCTGAATGCAGCAATAGGCATTGTCAATCATAAAGTGTTATGCAAAAAGCCAAAGACGGAATTACAGACAAGATACAGGAATGTGTAATGTGATCAAGGACCTAAAAAATAATAGGGCCCTGTACTGAAACAGAGAAGTAGCATCAAGAAGGCAGGATCGGGGGCAACCCCAACCGAGTTGGTCAGGCTGTTGGCTTGGTAACCATAAGGTTCCAAGTTCGACTTTCAGTTGGAGCGGCCTATTGGTCTTCTTGGTTTGAACCGATTAGCTATGGGCAACCTAGGCTGGTTTACTTCTTTGTGGTTCTTTGCTGGCTAAGATTTACCCAGTGCACACCCAGCTACTGGTTTCCCTCGTCACCCAAAAAAGAAGGCAGGGATAAAAACTCTGAATGTGGCCATCTAAACACTGGTCAGGAAACTAGCATGAGTTCTGGATAACACTATTTTGGGACTGACTGCAAGGGTGCTTGTTAAGAGAAAAATAATATAGCCAAAACCAAGTTGCTCAAATTTTTTATGCCAACTCATAATGGTCATGGAAATGATTACAGAAATGTAGAGATCCTTGAGAAGTGAAAGAGGCAAGTCATAATTATGACTGACAGAAAGAAAGACAATACCTTGAAGAAAAGTTAACAACAGAATACCTCGGAGAGTGGCTTTTGCACAATGGCACCGATGGCTTACCGACCACAGTTTTCTTACTTCAAGTTATCAAAGACCAAATTTTATCCCTATTCCACCGAAAGATCTAATAAACGAAACCTATGTATCACCTTTCCCACTCAATAATAGACAATCTGTCTATAACAATTCTAGGGAAGATGTTTTCAGCATCGACTACATAAGGAATGGATAAACATATAAAAAAACATAGCTAAGAGAAGGCATTAGTAAATATAGGTCTTCACTAGTTGCCAAAAACTCAGTATGAAACTAACTAATTTCACAATCAAAATTCACCTGCAGCTTCCTAGAACCCTAGCAGAATATAAAAAGCAATCCAGTTCTAATTACGCTAATATCTTACTGGTTCTAAGCATAAACACACAACGTATATGCATGAAGAAAGAGAATATAAATTAATTTATAAATGAAAGAGGTCGGAGGCAGTTGGTGAGATCGAGTAACTGACCGAGATCGCCGCCGCGCTTGGCGGAGCTGCAGTCGGAGTACCGGGCGGCGACGTCATTGAAGTCGGCTTTGCCGGAGACGATGTCGTCGCGCAGGGCCTTGAGCTGAGCGACGGCCTCATCTCTGGTGGTTTTTGAGATGACGGCGCCTTCTGGATCCTTCCAGGACGACTTGCGACGGGAGCCCTGGTGCTTTATGAGTATGTGGGAAGCCCTAACCTTGTCGCCGGATGAGGATGACATTTTGGACTTCTTCTTGTGCTTGTCCGCTCGATCTGACGATGAGATCGAAGCCTTCTTCCTCTTCCGATCCGACTCTATTTTCACAGACGCACAGAATTGCAGCTTAGCCTTAGCCTTTGTTGGTATAGTTCGTAATGCTTCAAGTCCACATATTCAAACATGGAACATCCTTGAACACTTCGGCTTACAAAATTTACGTTTGGTAGTCCCTCAAATATCGATTGTTGCTAAATCAGTCCCTGCTGAGTTTTTTAATAGGGCAGGCCGCACTGCCGCAGCTGCTTTATGTCAATTTTTTCAACGCTTGTGTGCTTCATTTACTTGTACAATGTTCTTGGAATATTGTACTAGGTTACCCAGCGAGGTAAAAAGTAAAAACACAATTTAAATATTCTTGGAATATTGTACTAGGTTACCCAGCGAGGTAAAAACACAATTTAAAGTACAAATGGAGTGTTGTGTAAAAATATGGCATATCTTGGTATATTTTAACCTTGTATTTTTATTAAAATGCTTTTAAATTTTATAGTCCATTATTAAAGACATTCAAGAAAGTGCCAAGAATGCAAACGGTCACCGATACACTGTCTGAATGCTCGACGCTCACGGCGACTCATCAGTCGCCAGAGGGCCTTGTTGTCGCCGAGCGCAACCCCAAGAAGCACAAGAGACGAAGGGACCACTCAGATCCATCTCTATCATCGCCAATAGTCAATAGCAGACAAGACATGCAAGCTGAGGCGGAACTTCTTTTCCCAGATTCTACACAATGGAGGACTCCTTCAGATACACCAGTCCACGCCTCGTCGCATTCCGTGGTACCAGATTCCCTGGCCGTCGAGGACAACCTAGAAGACGCAGACATGGAAGATGACAGGTCAGTACCCAGTAACCCGGTAATCCCGATTTCAGAAGAAGAAAAAGAAAGAATCCGAAGACCTTGGCGTCGTTCTCTGATTATTAGAATTTTGGGTAGAAAGGTGGGCTATTCTTACCTGCTCCAACGCTTGCAGAAGATGTGGAAACCGGAAGCATGTTTTGACTTAATCACTTTAGACCACGAATATTATATTGTTAGATTTGAATCACAGAGGGATTACGATTTTGCCAAATTTGAAGGCCCTTGGAGTGTTCTTGACCATTATGTGGTTGTCCAAGAATGGGTTCCGAATTTCTGTCCGAAGAAGAACAAAACTAAAAAGTTACTTGCATGGGTCAGATTTCCTACACTACCAGTAGAATACTTTGATGAACAATTCCTAATGAAGATTGCAAAAAGAGTAGGTCGCCCTATCAAGATTGACACTACCACAAGCCTAATCTCCAAATGCAGCTTTGCTTGGGTCTGCGTAGAGATAGATATTTCGAAACCTTTATTATCCAAGTTCACCCTTGAGGAAGAAGTGTGGCCGGTAGAATATGAAGGATTGCATCTTGTGTGCTTTCAATGTGGTCTCTATGGCCATAAAGAAAATCAATGTGGCCCTGGTACTGCTCAAAACGAGCATGACCAAACTGTAAACAATGATATTAGGGAGCAAGGCTTACCCGAACAAAGGAATGACTACTCTGCGAACTACGGACCATGGATGCTTGTCACAAGGAAAGATCGAAGAGGACCACGGAGGGTGATAATCGAGCAACTTCCGGTGGACAACCGGCCGGGGGAAGAACGGGTGGTAATAGTAGGAGTAACCAATCACGCTATGTGTAACACCCCGTGTTACGATCCCTAAAACCAATTAATCACTTAACCAATTACCCAAAAGAAAGAATTAAATCACAATAATTAATTAGGGAGGCCCACCATAGTCCATGGGCCCTTATCCCTAAACCCAATCCTTAATCCCAAAAGAAATAGAGTTATCAAACCTATAGTAATTAGGCCTAAGTAAGACTCTTAGATATATAAATAGGGAATACAAGGAGGCACTTAGAATCCCCACCACAAGAATAACGCCCCACCACCCCAAAAGAGCTCCAAGAATCCCCTTAGAAGAAATCAAGAAAGCAATAAAGCTTAAAGAAAGATCCTTCGTAGCCAAGGAATTAATTAAGGCTAAGAGGTAACCCATGTCTCAACAAAACCTATTTTCATAGCTATGATTTCCCCCGTAGGATTTCCCCATATTATTGTGTATTGATGATTTGTGATGTTATTATTGATGATTGATGGGATAATTCTATGGGTGATCTTGATATCGGGAGATTCTTGATAATTATGGTGTTCTTAACGATTATGTGGAGTTCTTGATGATTATATGTTGCTCTTGATAATTGTATGGCGTTCTTGATGCTTATGTGTTATTTGTACCGAATCTTGTAATTAGAAGACGAACCGTATTCTTGTTGATGTAAAAGTAATTAGAACCCTAGGTTGATGTTCTTGTTGGCGTTCTTGATGCTTGTGTGATGTTCTTGATGCTTATGTGATATTCTTACCGAATCTTGTAATTAGAAGACAAATCGTATTCTTGTTGGTATAAAAGTGATTAAAACCCTAGGTTGTATCGTATGATATTATTCTTGGTGTATCAGGTGGGGAAATCGCATGTTTGGGTATCAATTATGTTTAGAAAAGCATGATAGGTTATGTGCCGTACGTTTCTCGTATTTGATCAGTTAATTGTCTACGTGTTGATCGTTAATTGCGTTGTAAAGTGTCCAAGCATGGTTTCGGGTTCCACAATGGTTCCCGGGGCGTTTTGTGTATAAAGAGTCAGTGGGGGGTAGGGGACCCGCCACCTACCCGCGGCCAGAAGGGGCGTCTTCGGCAGCGGGCAGCCGGCGGGCGGGCAGCTGCCCGGAACAGTGTTTACCGGCGGGCAGCCGGCGGGTGGCCCCCCCACCCACCGGCTACCCGCTGGAAGTCTCCCCCATTCGGGACCCCGGCTTCCCCGTTTGATGTATCCCCGATCCTCGTGGTGTCCCAACGGACTCCGTTCATCATGCCGTGTCTAGTTTGATGTTTCGGGTACCGTTCGTAGGTTAATGAGTCTTATATATTGCATGCTAGTTGAATTGGTATACCGTTGACCTAGGTGGAAGAAGTATGAACCCCTTAGGACCATTCTTAGTATGTGAAGGATCACGCATAGGTTTCGTTATACGCTTTCTCCCCCTTCCCAATGTGTTAATGTGGGTTGCATGTGCTTGCTATGTGTTATGTGTGCATGATACCCCAATTCGGTTGCGATCGGATTGGTTATTCCTGAGCTGCGGTTCAGAAGCTGGCTGCGGTCAGATTTACACTCTTGGGCTGCGGTCCACCGTTTGGTTGCGATCAAACGTTTCTACGTGAGCTGCGGTTCATACTTTCCTGGCTGCGGTCAGATGACATACTCTTGGGCTGCGGTCCACTGTTTGGTTGCGATCAAACATTATGATGAGCTACGGTTCATCGGTCGGTTGCGATCGACCCCTCCGTGTTGCGATACAGGGCAGGGTGTTGCGGGGCCGTGTCAGAGCTATATGCGCTGACCCTCATGTATGGGCATGCGATTGGTCCTGTGGCGCCAACAAAGTGTGCTATGTGATGAAATACGGATGAGTTGTTGTTAGGAATATCTTGGGGATGTGACTATGGGATTTATGCTGGGAATTGTTTGTGTTGGGTTATGATTATTAATTGTGCTCAGCCTTATCTGTCTTGCCTGTTGTGGATTGTATACGCTTGTTATAACTGTTGCTTGTGTCTAGCCTTATCTGTTGAGTCATTCCCGGGTTTAAAAGCTAGAGTTCGTAGGATATATCTTCATGCTCAAAATGGTTTTCGTATATCTATATATATCTATATGTATTGTATTTCAACGCGTTGGAGTGGGCTACCAGCATCTCTCGCTGAACAGATATATTTGGCTTTCAGGCACAGAGGATTAGAGCACCGGAGCGCGCTAGACTGGAGCGTAGAAGTAGAGTAGTTTCCCTTTCGGCCTGCGTGCCATGTTATGCATTTACATTTCGGAGAATATTAGTTAGATAGCCTGTGCACCCGGGTTCTCTAGCCCAGGTGTGGCATAGCACCCCGTACGCTTATGTGATACTTTGGGATTAGTAAGATGTTATCCTTGTTATATAAGTTTTAAATGTTCTTGAAAATCTGGGGTGTTACACTATGGGCCTCTGGCAGACCAAGGAACAGAAGGCGAGGAGCACCCCATCAAAGGTCATCAATCCAGCCCCATCATCCAGAACTTGGATGTCCCTCTACCAAGAATTCGAACAGATAGACGAAAGGGCAAAAACCCTGTCAATTACCCTCAGAACCAAGCTCTTCCTGCGCAAAATGAAATAGGCCAGAACCAACCACAATCTTACACTGGACCGCTTCGACGAGGTGCGTTTAGAGGCAGTGGTGGTAGAGGTGGTACACCAAGGAGGGCAGCAGCTGAAACCGAGCATCCCGTGGTTCGTGTATCCAATCAAGGCCGCCATATTACTAGCACAATTGTTTATCACATCGGCAATCAACATGAGTTTCCAACTCTTCAAGAGAATGAGGTTTCTCCTAGGAATGATCCTCCGGATATACCCTCAACTTCAGCTCCCCAGATTGATCATCATGTTGATGCAATGATTTCTGATGGCCCTGATGGCCCGGTGGGACCTGTCCCTATGCGCTCTTGAGCATGGTCCTTTCTCCTTTTTGTTTTTAATGTTTTGTCTAGTATGGAATTGTCAAGGTGCGGCTTCAAGAGCCTTTCGCCGCACGCTTAAGCTTTTAATTAGTATACATGAACCTTCTTTTGTTTGTTTGTTAGAGCCTAAAGTCTCAGGTTATCAAGCCAACAAGATTTGCTCCAGTTTTGGCTTTGATGATTGGATAAGAGTTGAAGCAGTAGGTTTCTCAGGAGGGATTTGGGTTTTCTGGAGGAACTCTGCCCAGGTAATCATTCTTGACACTCACCCACAATTTATTACCATGCAGGTAGACCCTACAACCACAAAATCCTGGTTGCTCTCTGTTGTGTATGGTAGCCCGAATGCACACCTTCGTAAAAAGTTGTTCGCAGATCTCACATCTGATAGTCATCACCCAGATATCCCCTGGTTAGTAGTAGGTGATTTCAACTCAGTGTTAAGCTCGGATGAAACCAGCAGCCCCGAAAACTTCTCCTTAAATCGCAGCTCTGACTTCAAAAACTGGATTTTCCGCGAGGGTCTAATTGATTTAGGCTTCACCGGTTCAAAATTCACGTGGAAACGAGGAATTGATACCCCATCCTTCAAAGGGGCAAGGCTAGATAGGGCACTTGGCAATATAGCATGGAAGATTAGTTTCCCAAATTCGTTGGTCGAACATCTACCAATGATCAACTCGGACCACTCCCCAATTTTAGTCAATTCCAAATCTGTATCTCAGGCTCCTTCAACCAAGTCGTTCAGGTTCAATCTTGCCTGGTCCACTCACCCAAGCTTTATAGATTGTGTTAAACAAGCTTGGTCCAAATGGGGCAACTTGGAATCTAACAAAACTGCTATGGCTAAATCCTTAGCAGCATGGAATAAAGGTACATTTGGCAACATTTTTCATAAGAAAAAAAAATTATTAGCTAGAATAAATGGTGTGCAACGCTCTTTGGCTATTAGACCAAGGGCAGATTTGATTAAGCTTGGCAGAAAATTACGTACTGAACTTGAGGATGTCTTATACCAAGAAGAGCTCTTATGGTTTCAACGGTCGAGGGAGGAATGGATCGAATCAGGAGACCGCAATACTCATTTCTACCACACAGCCACTGCTACAAAAACAAATTCTGCTAGTCTTAAACATATTAAAGATGAGAATGGGCAGCACCTTACCTCCGACACTCAAATCAGAGATCACATCTTTAACTTCTTTGTCAACTCTTTTTCAGAAAATTGTCCTTTTGTCTCTTCGAATCTACAGGTAGGGGTGTTAGCGAACAGAGCTTTCGGCAAACTACTCGTGTTCGTGTTCGGTAAGCGTTCGTTTATGTTCGTTTGTTAAGGTAAACGAACATTAACAAACAAAATTTAGAGCTCGGTTAATAAACGAACAGAGCTTGAACAGTTGTAAGCTCGTTTGCTAAAAGATCGTGAACAAGCTCGTTTGTGTTCATTTAATAATGTTCGTGAACAAGCTCGTTTATGTTCGTTTAATAATGTTCGTGAACAAGCTCGTTTGTGTTCGTTAATAATGTTCGCGAACATGTTCACAAACATATAAGTAAGTATATATATATATATATATATATATATATATATATATATATATATATATTAGTAGTATTAATTTAATACAAACACATAATAGTATTAATTTAATATGTACAAATACATAGACATGGGTAATTACTAATTACTTAATTAGCTAGGTAACTTAAACATTGTTTAATAAACAATAAATAAGTCACTTTTATTTAGCCATTTAGGGACTAGGGTTTTCCACGTTTCAAACTTCAGATCATCCTTCGCACTTTCAGTCTTCACACTTCACCGCTCAATCGTTCTTCTCCGCCATCATCGTTCACACCTCCACCGCGACTCCACCTTCACCGCTCACACAGTCACACCTCCACCGTGAGTCCGTGACTCTGCCTTCATCGCTCACACGTCCACCGCAACTCCATCGCAACTCCACCAACGCTGTCTCTCGTAGCCACCTGCCCTGCTGCCCAGCCATCGCCGTCAGCCGTAACCACCACCCCAGCCAACACCGACTGCCGTAGCTACCACCCTAGCCAACGCTGACCACCGTAGCCACCACTTCCCAGCCCAACACCTCCGGCCTCTATTGACGGTAAATACCGTACCTCTGTAAACATATACTTCATTAGTGGTTATTGTTTAACTTCATTAGTGTTTATTGTTTATTGTTTAGCTTCATTAGTGTTTATTGTTTATTGTTTAACTTCATTCTGTAATTATCGGCTTGTATACTCAGTACTCACCCTCCCTATGAGCAAATGGCAGAAATAGTATACTTGATTACTGTTTATTGTTTAATTGAAAGCAGAGAGAAATTCATTGAAAACATAGAGAATTTTTTTTTTTCATTTCTTGATTAGTGTTTATTGTTTTAATCATACTGTTTCTTTTCTTGCTTGCCTAAGAGAAATTTCTTGTTTCTTTTAATCATTGAAAACATACGGTCTGCTACTCTATTGTTTAATCCTCATATCTCCTTGCTTGCCTGCTGACTGTTGTTTCAATCGTCCTCGAAGCTTTAAAAATACATACGGTATTTTTAATTTTTGTTTTTTTTATAGATTAATATTATTGAGTTTATATTCACTTTAGAGCTAGTATGCCACTTTGACATTGTATTTGTGTGTTTATTTGTTCTTTGAATTTTCTTGTTTAGCTGGTTGGATAACTGGACAAGATGAAGAAGAACAATATAACATATTGTACTATGTCAATGTGGTAGTATTCTTTATTCTCTACTTTTTTCTTTTTTTTTTGTTTGCATTATTATAGAAAGAATATAACATATTGTATACATTTTTTTTAATTACTTGTTTGTATAATAGCTATGTCTTATGAAGATTACAACACAATTGATGAACCTTCAAGTCCAAGTGTTGGTTCTTCAACAATACCTATTGAAATGGAAGAACTAAACCCAACACCAAATCATCCAAATGTGGAAATCATTGGATTTGAAGGTGATGTTGAGAAGGACATTGGCCGAGAAGTTGAAGAAGTGGAAGGAGAAAGCGAACCTTATAAGAAGAAGCAAAGGAAAAAATCATCAGTTATTTGGCAAGAAATGACAGTGGTGAAACTTGAGAATGGGGAAGAAAAAGTGCAATGCAATCATTGCAACTTTAAATTGAAAAAGCAAAAGGATGGCACGACCACACAATATAAAAGACATTTAGACAGTTGCATAAAACGCAGAATCAATCTTTCAGGGCAAAGGAACATTTGTGTGGTTCCATCGACACAAAAATCGGAGAGTGTCAGTGGTGTTCAGAGTTGGAAGTATGATCAAGCAAGGATGAGGGAGGTTATATCTCACATGATTATGGTTCATGAATTGCCATTTTCGTTTGTTGAGTATGAACTCTTCAACATAGTCATGCAATCTGCAAGTCCATATTATGAGCGGATTGGTCGAACAGCAACCACAAAAGATTGTTGGTCAACTTATGAGCTAGAAAAGAAACGAGTACAAGGATTGTTGAATTCAGTTGACAAAATTAGTATCACAACTGACATATGGACATCAAATCAGAACATTCAATACATGGTGATAACTTCTCATTTTGTGGACATGGACAGTAAGTTGCAGAAAAGAGTTCTAAACTTTGTTGAAGTGCTTCCCCCGCATACCGGTACATGTGTTTGTGATGCAATATACAAATGTTTGCAAGGATGGGGTATTGAAGAGAAAGTGTGGACAATCACAGTGGATAATGCTTCTTATAATGATTCAGCTGTGAGGTTGTTGCATGACTCTCTTTCTTTTCATACAACTTTGCCACTAGAAGGTAAGTTGTTTCATGTTCGTTGTTGTGCACACATATTGAACATTCTTGTGCAAGATGGCCTTTCTGAGATTAAGTCTATCATTGAAAATGTCAGAGATAGTGTCAAGTATATTAGTGCTTCACCTCAACGGTTGCATAGTTTTAATGAGATTTGCAAACAGCTCCAAGTGCCTAACAAGAAGTTGATTTTAGATTGTTGCACTAGGTGGAATGCAACATTTGCTATGTTATCTTGTGCTTTGAATTTCAAGCAAGTATTTCCTCGGTATCAACTTCGAGATCCAAATTACAAATGCTTGCCTTCTGAGGATGATTGGCAAAGGGTTGAAGAGATTTGCTCTTTACTGGTGCATTTCAATGAAGTTACTAAAATTATCTCAGGTAATTTATTATACAGTTCTAAACTTTATACATTTCAATATATATGATTGTTATATAATTATAGTATTTGTTTTTTGAATATAGGTTCTGAATATCCAACAGCAAATTTGTTTCTTCCTGAACTATATAACATCAAAGAAATTCTCGGTCAAAAGTCTGAAAGTGTAGAACCTTGGATGAAAAACATGGCCCAAAGGATGCAGCATAAGTTTGACAAATATTGGGGTAGTAGCAATCTATTACTTTCTATTGCTGCCGTTTTAGATCCTAGAAATAAGATGACATTTATCCAATTTGCTTTTCCAGTCATTTATTCTGAAAAGGAAGCTACTACACAAATTGGTATTGTTCGTGATGCTTTGTATGAGTTATACAGGATCTATTTGGATAAACATACAACAGCTTCAAACCAATTAATGGAAAATGATTCTCAAGCAAGGAATACTTCTATGCAAGGTGTTACTACTGTTTGGAAAGGGAAGGGACCGGCTGTTGAAACTGGGAGATCAAAATTTGAGAAATTTGTGAGAAATGTTGATACTGTCCAACATGTGAAGTCTGAATTGGATACTTATTTACAGGAGGGTGTATATATTTGTGAAGGGGATTCGGTTGAATTTAATGCATTGGATTGGTGGAAGTCAATGAACTTGAAGTTTAGAGTATTATCCAAAATGGCATGTGAAATCTTATCAATTCCAATCACAACGGTTGCTTCAGAGTCAACATTTAGTGCTGGTGGTAGGGTTATTGATACATATCGGGCATCTTTGGGGACCGATACTGTCCAAATGCTACTTTGTGGAAGTGACTGGTTGCGTAACTTATATGATATAAAAAGAAAACCAAAAGTAAGTACTGTCAATTCTTTTATTATATCATTTATTTTCAATACTTTTTATGTCATATAACAATATATTATATATCATTTAATGTAGTTTACTGAAGATGTGAAGACTATATCACTGGAATGAACTTGGAGTTAAGGTATTAAGCTTTTGGGATGATGGATGCAGAATATAAATATATCATGCTTTATGTTTTTATGTTTTGGCCCTGTTTTGGCTTGTAATGTGAGCAGACAAATTATGTGGACTTGGATTTTTATTTTGATATTAGATGCTACGTACGGATGGACTTATTAAGTTATTTGTATTAGTTTTGTTGTTTGTTTGATTACTATTCATGAACATAGATTATTTATTGTTCACGAACGAATTGTGTTCATGAACATGTGCATGTGTTTGTTTATTAAGTGTTCGCGAACATGTTAATGAACGTAAGTGAATATGTTCGTGAACGTGCTTGTTAATGAACATGTTCGCGAACGTGTTTGTTAACGTTAATGAACATGTTCGCGAACGTGTTCATGAACGTTAACAAACACGTTCGCGAACATGTTCGTTAACGTTAATGAACACGTTCGTGAACGTGTTCGCGAACGTTAACGAACACTAACGAACTCTTAACAAACGAACACGAACAGGATTTTCAAAAACCTTAACAAACGAACACGAACACGAACACTCCAAATTCCTTAACAAACGAACACGAACAAGCTCCGTTCGTTTATGTTCGGTTCGTTAACAGCCCTATCTACAGGGTTATTTTCCAGTGTTAAGTCAAGAGGAATGGGCTGCGATTAACGCTCCGTTCCAACCGGAAGATGTCAAGTAAGCACTGTTCGAAATGAAACCAAACAAGGCCCCGGGACCGGACGGCTTCACTGCAGAATTTTATCAACTGACATGGAACCATACTGGTGCCTGCTTAACCAATTTCGCTCTAAGCTTTTTTGCAGATGGTATACTACCTGAAGCTTGCAACGACACCTTGATTACTCTCATACCCAAAGTCTCGTGCCCCGAATCTGTTAAACATCTTCGTCCTATAGGCCTATGCAACGTATCATATAATCTTCTCACCAAGTTAATGGTTATGAGACTGAAAGCAGCTTCTAATAAAAAGCTTATTGGACCCCATCAGACCAGTTTTGTACCGGAAAGACAAATCACCGACAACGTCATCGTATATCAAGAACTTCTCAACTCAATGAGGACCAAGAAAGGTCCTAGGGGTTGGATGTTACTTAAAGTCGACCTTGAAAAAGCCTATGATAGGCTAGCGTGGGGATTCATAGAAGATACACTTCAGGACATTGGTTTTAATTCTCAGTGGATCAGAAACATCATGGCATGCATTAAGGCCGTTTCAATAAAAATTGGGGTCCTGTGCAATATTTTAATTTTGGGCCCCTTTTTCAATTAATTTTTATATATAAATAATAATTGTTCAAAAAGTTGTCTTCAAAAATTTAAAATATAAATATTGTATAAAAAAATACATCTAAAATTTCATTTAAAAAGTGACATGCGTCGTGCACATTTAGACGCAAAATCATCCACCAAGCTTTTGATATCAACTTCTTCCAAAATGTCATTTTCAATAGAGATTAAAGCTAATCCATTCAGTCTCTCTTGCAACATACTTGATCGTAAGTACGATTTCAACAATTTCAACTTTGAAAAACTCCTTTCTGCAGAGGCAACAGTAATTGGGATAGTCAATAATATTCGATATGCAATAGAAGCATTTGGAAAACAACCCAACTGTTTAAATGAATTCAATATACTCACTGCTCCTATATTTTCTTTCGATAAAATCTCTCTAAGCAATTTTAGCTCAATATACAATTCATTTCCGCCAATTTCACCACACTGTTCATCTCTCTTAAGAGCTGCTTCTAAACAAATGCAACAAGATTTCAAATCCATATCAGCCATCGATTGTAACTTGTGAGAACCAAACAAAAAATCAAATGTTCCTTCATATACTTCATATTGCTCAAACCTCTGGGTCAATGAAATAATAGCTTGATCTACAATGTATAAAAAATAATGAACCCTAAAAGAATCTTCTGGAGATAGTGAAGTATCATCAGCACTCTCATCAAATTGTCTTTTTCTACGAATTTTTCGCTTTTGAGGAAACACTCGCTCAATTTCTAATTCAGTGGCAATTTCCTTTGCAGTATCCATGGCAGTAGAAAAACCATTTTCTCTATAATTCTTGAAGAAAGAAACTAACCCTTTAATTTGATTA